GGGGCTACCTGCGATCCGTTTTTGCTCTGACAAATGGAATTTACCCTCATAAATTAGTGTTCTAAATTTCTTACTAAGAACCTAATTAAATACCTGATACATTTAAAAAAAAAAAATAATGCCTACAGACTTTTAAAAACACTAAGTCAGAGGGTGGAAGTGTGGCTCAGTAGTAGCACATTTGCCTAGCACACACAACACTCTGGGTTCCATTCCAAGCACTACACAACAAAAATAAACAAAAATACAAAAATCTGGGTGACGATAGAACATATGCTTCAGGATGCAAAGCCCTGACCTCAATTCCCAGAACTACAAAACACCCCCTCCAAAATAACCCCCAAAACAAAAACATAAAACTAAGTCTTCAACTTGTATTTGTATTCTTTCTTCATTTCAACTACCAGAACATAAGCTGCACTCTGCTATCTTCCACTGAAATAATAAACTATGCCAGGTACTTAAGGATTAAACTTTTTTTTTTTTGGACATAGGGCTTCATTGAAGCAAGGCCATCCTTGAACAATGTAGCCCACCCAATCTTAAACTCTTGATCTTCCTGTCTCAGCCTCCCAAGTGCTAGAATTATAAGCATGCACCAGCATGCCCAGCTCAAACTTACTTTTTAAAGATTAGCTTGAATATCTACCTAACTATACTTAGAAGTTTCTCTGAGAAAATACACTGCAAAAAACTACTTTGAAATGCAGTACAATTCATATCTTTGGAAATGATCCATCTGTAGAAAACCACATTAAAGGACTGGAATACTTTATAAAATTTTATTTATGGGCCAGCCAAATAGCTCAGTGGATTAAAGTGCCTGCAAGCAGGCACAGGGGCCGGGGGTTCAATCCTTGGGGCCAGCTGAGACAATAATTGAGACTGGGCATGGTGGCGCGCCCCAGTAATCCCAGCTCTTGGGAGGCTGTAAACAGGTGGATCACTGAGTCCGATCTGGTAGTGAGACCCTAGATACCCTGTAGATCCTTCCCTTAAAAAAAAAAAAAAGAAAAAAAATTATTTATCCACAGAGGTCTAGTGGCATAGAACCAACTAAGTAAATGCCTCTTTAAACAAAAGTACAACCCATCCAAAACCACAGATAAGCTTTGATACAGTATGTTAGATGTCATCAAAATTAAAACTTTTAACGGTACTGCAAACAACATCAAGATAAAAGACAATCCAGAGAATAAGAAAAAAAAAAAAAAAAAAAACAACAACAACCTGGAAATTGTATTTGATAAAGGACTCACATCCACAATATTACATATGAGTTCTTAAAATTTCAAAATAAGGTATGGGGCTGGAGAGATAGCTTGGTGGTCTAAGCGCCTGCCTGGAAAGCACAAGGACCCAGGTTCCATCACTGGTTTCGCATGCTATCCCGCCATGCAGGCCATGGGAACTGGGAGTGGTGGCACATGCCTATAATCCCATTG